TAGAATTGTATCCAGGCAACAGTTTTCCCTATAAACTGACCACTCAGTTTGACTTGTGAGGGCATTGCCCCCGAATTACAATATTGTTATATTGGTATTTGACGGTTCTATTTGACTGTCAGATATGAAGTTCAGGCCGCAAATGTACTATTTAGCACCCAAAAAAATTTGAATTGGTCAAACTGTGCTGTAACCACAGTATTTGACGGTTCTATTTGACTCTCAGTTATGAAGAGCATGCCCCAAATGTACTTCTTTGGAGCAAGAAAATAAGAATGTTTACAATTGCGCTGTAACCGCAGTATTTGATGCTTCTATTTGACTCTTAAATATGAAGTGCAGGGCCCAAATTTACTATTTAGCAGATTAGCACCCAGAAAATAAGAATGTTTACAATTGTGCTGTAACCGCATTATTTAATGCTTCTATTTGACTCTCAGATATGAAGAGCACGCCCCAAATTTACTAATTAGCAGTTTAGCATGAAAACAATTAGAATTTTTACAACTGCGCTGTAACTGCAGTATTTGACGCTTCTATTTGACTCTCAGATAGGAAGTGCAGGGCCCAAATTTACTATTTAACAGATTAGCACCCAGAAAATAAGAATGTTTACAATTGTGCTGTAACCGCACTATTTGATGCTTCTATTTGACTCTCAGATATGAAGTGCACCCCACTAATGTACTTTTTAGGACTCAAAAAACTTTAAGTTTTAAAACTGCAATGTGACAGCAGTATTTGACGCTTCTATTTGGCTCTCAGATATGAAGTTCACTCCACTAATGTACAAGTTTGCAGTATTCTTTCCTAATCTGTCCCTGAAAATCTGTCCCTGCATTAGTAGGCATGGCTGTGATGGCTTCTAAGGGCACACGAGTCAAACGTGTGTTGATTGGCTACCATGCAGCCTTTCAAAACGCACCATTAAATCGCTGAACACCGAACTCCAACCCGAACATACAGTGATATGTCTGTGTTCGGGTCCGGGGTCCAAAAAACATAATGTTCGGTACGAACCCTAACTTTACAGTCCAGGTTCGCTCAACTCTAGTATTTATATATCACTTTGCACACAATGTTTTGCATATTTTGTGAATGCTCAGCATATGTGAGCTCAAGCGCGTACCTAGAGCATTTGGCACCCGCGGTGGGTCCTATTTTTGGCACCCCCCCTTTAAGCCACCCATCTCCCTCTCAACTTTAAATGTAAAAAAACAACCATTTAAAAAAAAATTTATTTAGCACTGAGCAGTGTTTGTGTGTTTGAATGTATGCATGTTTTTGTATGGAGTATGTGTGAGTAAATGTAGGGGTGTGTTTGTATGTAGTGTTGGTGTTTGAATGCAACATGCATTTGTGTGTTTTGTGGTATTTGAATGCAGTGGTATGGTTATATATAATGGTGGGGTTTGTATGTAGTGTTGACATTGAAATGCATAAGTGTATTTGTGTTTTAGTGTTGGCGAGATTTTGAGATGTATGCACATATACACATACACACACATACACACAGACACACAGACACACATGCAGACATCGTGGCGACTCTAGGAACAATATATAGGGTGGTGGGGCACATAAGATACCACAGTCAAAACGGGGGGGAGGTTGAGAAGTAAAACTTTTCACTAGGGGATGGAGTAATGTGCTGTCATTGCTGGCATCTGACAACACATTTGCATAGAATTCACATTAGCCACTCAGAATTCTTGTTTTGGGCTGGCTGACACCTCTTAATTTCGATCTTTGTTTATCAGATAATTCCCCTATTTGCTATCCTTATGTGGGATTGCCATATTTAAGGACATCAAATAAGGTGCTATCTGCTAAACAGCACCCTCATTTGGTATATTTAAATATGGAAATCTCACATAAGGGTACCAAGTCAGGGAATGATCTACTAAACAGCAAAAGGATAAAAATTAAAGCCCTTTTCTTAATTTCAGTGGTTTAGTAGATAAATCCCTTATTTGTTATACTTATGTGGGGTTGCAATATTTAAGGACACCAAATAGGGAGCTATCTACTAAACACATACAAAGATACACATAATCACAGATATACACAAACACAATCAAAGACCCACACACATACACACACAAACATTACATACATACACACATTTAATAATTAAGAGGTCCACCCAGCCTCCACACCTTGCTCTAGAAAGGCTGGAGTGGATCCTCAGTCCCTGGTGGTCAGTGATTGCTGCTGGGATCCCTGTGCTCTTCCTGCTTGGTCCCTCACATGCCCTCTAATGACTCCAAAGCCGCAATGACATCATATGCCAGCTGCTGGCTCACTGCAGGGTGAAGACCGTCAGACCCAATCAGATGCACACAGTCCACACACATAGTTACTCACACACAGTTACAAGCAGACAGTCAAAAACACAGTCACAGGCAGACAGACAGGCAGACAGTCACACATACACAAACACAGTCAAATACAGTCTCACACACACAAACACACAATCACAGGCAGACAGTCACACAAACACACAGAGTCACACAGACACACACACAAACCAACCACACACACACACACACAGTCAAAGACAGACACAGTCACAGTTACACACAGCACGCACTCTCTCACTTACAGTCCGCTTGGGCTGGAGGAGGAGTGGATTCAGTCCCTGGTGTGAGTTGGGGAAGCAGGGACTCCTTCTTGCTTCCCCTCTGTGTGCAGCAGTAATAGGCTGTCTTTAGCCCTCCCCACATCTGTCTTGGCTCCGCCCCACTGCTGATCTGGTCCCGTCCCCAACTCTCCGTGCAGGTCTCCTGCTCCTGCTCCCAGACCCTGTGTGTGTGAGCTGTGTCGGCTGCCAGGCGCCCCTTCTGCTATGGCAGTCTGTGCAGCCACACAGCTCACAGAACCCCAGCCCTGCTGGTGGAACCCCTCTACCTGATGGCACCCAGGGCGGACCGCCCCCTCCTCATTTCCCACCCCCCTTAGTACGCCACTTTGTGAGCTGTACATTTTACATATGCACATGAGTGTTAGTACTTTTGAGATTTGTAGCACGCTTTTTTTTTTCTGGTATATTTTGCAGTTATTTTAGCAAAATTGTTTGGGAAAGAACATAACCATGCAATTACTGATTACTAAATTTAAATAAAAAAGACATCTAGGAAAGTGGATTCATACACATACCAGATGTTTTCTAAACAGCTTACTACCAGAGTTTTAAAAAGATGTTCAAGTTACCAAAAACTAAAAGACTGAAAAACGTAAGACTTTTTAATGGAAAAAGTAAGGGATTAATAACATATAGCTGTTCGACAGCAAAATAAGTAAATGAGTCCTTTAACCCCTTCACGACCAGTGACGGTTCAGGACCATCATCGGAAAAATCCCCTTGAGGACCAGTGACGGTCCTGAACCGTCATAACAGAAATATTTACTCACTCGGTTTCCTGAGGAAAGTTCATGAACATGAACTGAAACGTTGACGACTATACTGGAATAAACCGAGAAGTTATTTGTTTATAAGTCCTTTTTTCATTTGAATTATATATATATATATATATATATATATATATATATATATATATATATATATATATATATATATATATATTTAGATCAACATACACTTAGAAGTAAATTATATATATATATATATATATATATATATATATATATATGTATATATAATGAAATACATAAAATAATACTATATATATATAGTATTATATATATATATCTATATACAAAAGTATATAGATAATTTCATAAATATGCATTGCATTGCAATTGCATTTTTTATGTAATATTTTTACATAATTAATTTAATTTTTTGCAATTTGAGGGACCTGCCTGACAACCCAGGCCAAAAGTCCAGAGAATTTAATTTGCTAGCACTGTATTTAACCCTGTAACTTTACATGACAACCTAACACCTGTACATGGGGGGTACTGTTTTACTTGGGAGACTTCACTGAACACAAATATTAGTGTTTCAAAACAGTAAAACATAATTATATGACATGATACAAATAATGGTATGTAAAGAAAGTCATTCTTGTCCTGAAAAAAAACAATATATAATTTGTATGGGAACAGTAAATGAGAGAGAAGAAAATTACAGCTAAACACAAACACCACACAAGTATTCAAACAGCCTGGTCCTTAACAGCATGGCCAAAACAGTCCAGTCCTTAAGGGGTTAAAGTTGATGCTAACAGTTCCTGCAAATGTCAATACTGATTTGTTGAATACTTACAAACACTCTTTCTGAATAAAAGAATGTTGGACGAGACTGTTACCATACACTCTTAAGCATTACTTGGACATCATTGTGCTGCCTAAAGTCCACACACCAGTACCAGTTGGAGGTACATACTGCAAGCTCCCCAGTCCCCACTGTATAACTATAAACTCACTAGTGATAGAGATACTTTATCTTCCACCAGTCGCAGAGTTTACACTTTGGGACAGTGCTCAGTCAGCCCACCTGCATGTGCCTGGATTGCATGATGGCCGATTGTACTCTTTACATTCAGTCTCTCAATGCTTGTAAAGTATCAATCTTGGATAAAATATGCACGTTAGTTATCTATTAATCCCATCAAGGGCAATCACTTTTACTAATCATTACCACAACTAATTTGCATTATGTTAAAATGCATTTATAAAGGGACATTTGGCACACTCATCTCTTCTGTTTGTTCTTTGGAACATAAGGTCTTCTGTGATTACATTCTTGTGTAAACCTGGAGTTAAATGGTAATAATTTTCTCAAAATGGATTGTGTAATTTTGTACATGCTAATTTTGTGCATGCCAATATTTGCTTCTCTGAGGGGATGTGAGGAAAAGCTACACATTTTATTAATATCAGGGGTCTTTTCACTGGACACGAATGTGTCCTAGAATAATTTTCTACCTCATTTAATGAGGTTCTTTTGCTTTAATATAGTATTTGTCCCTCCAGGAGCCATAACCACTTAGCAAAGCCGTGCTAAAAAACGCTTGTGCTGTGTTCCTGCACAGCAACAGCATTTAGCCAATCAGGTGATCAGGACAGCCGTCGCAGCAGCCCTGATCACCTCAGATTTTAAAATGGCAACATTGATGGAGCACTCCATTTCTATGTCTGCCACAGAAATGGTGGATGTCCCTCCTAGAGACAGCCCCATCAACGTTAGAAGGCTTCATAAGAGAGCCTTCCTTGCCAGGGACCTATCCTCTTCATCTACTGATGAGGATATAGTCCCAGTTAGTAAAATAAAAAAGAAGGGTTGCTTTTCCTCTTTAAGTTCTGAGGATGAACTTGATTTTGGTTCCTCTTCCCCTCATTTTCGTTTGAGTAGTCGACGTTTTAAAGGCATGGTACCTCCAAAAATGAAACGTGTGTTTCCCTCGTTTGAGGTTTCAAAACAGTTTTGACACAAAAGAAACAAGATTCATTAGAGTGCTGTCAGTCCATCACCATCCACCTCAAGAGCGTTTGCTCATTCATCCTCCCTAAGCCGGTCCTGTTCCAGACAAGGATCACCAGATATTGATTGGGAGTCTGAGGAGGTGGTTCGCTCTGCAGCTTCCACTGAACGAGAGAAGTTGAGCAACATTCAGATGATCAGAGTAAGCCTTTTAGGTAAAGTGCTCCCTTCAAAATTATTCCATTCAAGATGAGCCATCGAACAAGAGTCAGAAGTCAGGGATTTCACCAAACTAGCTTTCAGATCACCGCTAGTTAAAGATGATGATCTCCTCCTTAGAAATCATATTGGTAACCCTGACATTCAGGCACTAATGGCACCTGAAATTGATTCAGCACTGTTATCCATTACAGGAAGCAGTGTTTCTGTGGATCCCAAGTATCAAATGTTTTGCAATGTACAATTTAAAATTGCAGATGCTGTTGATCCCCTTCTGCTAATGTTAGATAAGGCAGAGAATGAGGGATCCTCTCATAACCCTTCATTACTGGCTTCTAAAATTGCACTTCTAAAAGCTTCCAGCAGAGTGGTGCTTATTATCGGTCAATCTTTCAACTATATTTCAAACATTCGCAGAGGTGAAAGGACGATACAAAGCTAGGAGATCTTTCTCTGATTTAAAGAAGAGCTTTCAAAGCTACAAGAAGCATTTTCCTACAGGGCTACAGTTTCATCCCGGGAAGTTACTCAGCAAGCCCACTTTCGTCACCATGGGGGACCCCCAGGCAGTAGCAGAGGAGCCCATGCCAGATGTGGCTCATCAGGAAACCGAAGACCCATGCAGTTTGTCACTGTGACAAACTCCCCTCTCCAAGTGAGTCTGGAGGAGCCTGCTGCCCACAGACTATGGGCCCTGCAAGGAAACCTGTAAAAGACTACCGAACTTGACCGACTGTTAGCACTGATTTCCCTGGTACTGTTTTGGGCATAGGACCATGTGCACGGTCGGTCAAAACTATGACTTCAAGGAAATTCCTGAACCCTTGAACTGATCTGGATGATTTTTTGGATATGTTGTACACCCAGATCGGGGCTATCAGAGGATGTAACTTATGGGATTTTATGTGGTTTTAAGGTACTTTTTGGGGTTTCATAAAATTGTATGTTTTTCTGTGCTTGGAGATAATTGGGTTAGATCAGTCCAGTTCCTGATTCAATTATCTCCCAAGCACAGAGGAGGGTTTACATTGTCTGTGTATGGGAGTGTCTCACTTTATGACTCTGTTTTTATTGGTTTATTCACTTTGTGTCCCTATGCCCAACAAGGTCCACCTGTGTGTGACCCTTGTTGAGAAACTTTCATAAAAGGCCAGTGTGCCTCCATTAAAATTCTATTCCAGCTTACACTCCAAAACGGTGTGTCGTCCTGTTATTGGAGGGAAAGAAGATTTACTCCTGTGTCTGCTGTTCCAGCTTGCAGGAGATTCAACGGGGAAAGTCCTTGTAAGAACTAGAGCTAATTCCCCATTCGGCTCCAGGATGAGCGGTTCCAGGGACCCAGTCAAACCACGGCGACTGAGGGCCAGAGTGCGGAGGTTTGTCTCCTGTTCCAGCTAGGAAGCAGTCCTTTGGCGGACGTACCCAGTCGTGGTACAGGGAGCTCTGTTACACTCACATCCCTCAAAATTAGTCAGTCATAACCTCGGACAAATGGGTGCTTCAGATTTTCAAAAGGGGCTTACAACTTTCATTCAGTTTCCTTTCCAGAGTCAAGCTCTGGGCAGAGAGGTAAATCCAGTTATAGATTCCATTCTTTCCCAGGCATTAGCTCAGGGAATAATAAAATTGGTAGATTTGTCAATTTCAGGTTGGATCAGTCCCTTGTTCCCTATTCCAAAATCAGGCAGCATGTGGAGACCAGTAGTAAATGTCAAGGCTTTGAATGCTTTCCTAAAGAGAAAAAGATTCAGACCTCCCAGGCCTAGTGCAGAAAAATGTCTTCTACATAAAATTAGACCCCAAAGATGCTTTCCATTCAGTTCCTATCTATCCAAATATATCACTGGACTGTAATGTTTTTTGGCCTATCCAATGCACCTTACACATTTTCCAAGATAATGATCGCTATTATATCCCATATCAGGCAAAGAGGATTTCTATGCCTTTATTACTTAGACAACATCCTATTGTTGAATCCAGAGGTAGATGCTCTCGTTCAGCAGAGAGATTACCTAATTTCCTTATTACAGGATCTGAGGTTTATTGTAAATCTGCAAAAATCCATCCTAGTCCCTACTCAGAATATCCTATTTTTGAGTTTCATGCTGAACACTATGGATATGACCTTGGGTGTTCCCCGAGACAAATGGGAGAAAAACCTAGCTCAGTTAACTTCAGCTCTTAACACCGGGTTAAGATGCTTCCCGCTTGCTGTGCAGACGAAGTCAGCTGTTTCTAGGAAACCAGCTGAGACGAGGTGGCCAGTGGGGGTCAAGGGTGGTCCTTCCCATGAGTGTCAGAAAAGAGCTAAACAAGATATTGGAAGGGGCAAGTCCATTTCCTTGCCCCCTTCTGGAAGTGCCTTTCGAGTTTATTTTGACCACAGATGCTTCTTCCAAGGGATGGGGTGCTTTCTCTGCCCAAGGCATGATAAGAGGAGTTTGGTCAGTTCAAAAAAGGCTTCTTCACATAAATTTACTAGAGTTGAGAGCAATCAGAGTAGCCCTCCACGGCCTGGTTCTGTTGAACCCCCTAGGTGTGTCGGTAATGGTTCAATCGGACAGCGGTAGCTTATGTCAAACAACAGAGTGGGCACAAGGTCAAAAGGTCTTTGCCTAGAGGCTTTGGACCTGTGGTCCTGGGTTCTGCTTCACAAAGTTCAAATTTTAGCAGTTCACCTACCAGGAGAGTCAAATGAACTGGCAGCTTCCCTGTCCCATCAGCATTTGTCCCTGACTACAGTCCAGATAAAGAGTGCCTTATTTCAGCTGATAGAGAGCAAATTGGGCAAGAGACAGATATATCTTGTTGCATCTCTGACCTCGGCTCAGACTCTGACATTTGTAACCAGGACTTGGGCAAAAGTAGTTTGGAAGATGGATGCGATGTCCTTCCAATGAACAGACATTCTGGGCCTTTACTCTTTCTCCCTCCATCTATTCTGATGAAGGTGTTAGAAGCGGATTGCTTCCTAGGGACCAGGGATCTCTTAACCAAGCTCCCCCAACTTATGTGGATATCAGCTCTGATAGGCTTTTAACGCATCCTCTTCTGTCTGACCGGGTTTTAGACATAGTTAATTCTTCACTACGGCACAGGACCAGGGTAAGATACAAACAGATGATCGAGGAATTTAAAGAATGGGAAGTTTCCTTTAATTCCCTTTTCCATGAATCTGACATAATTCCCTTAGCTTTGGAATTCCTCACACTCAAATATCATTCAGGGTCAGTGGTCAGTACGATTAAGACATATGGTTCTGCATTTAATTTTCGAATCCCTAATCTGACCCAAAATGCCCTTTACCTCAGGTTACTCAAAGGACTATCAGTCTTCCACTTGGGATGTGGACCTTTTATTAAACTACCTTAATTCTTTGGACAGTGACCAGATTGACCCTAGATGGACAGCGATTAAATTGGCATCCCTAGCTTTAGCTCTGGCAGCTAGAGACTCAGAAATAACCCAGTTAAATATTGTCGAACCATGGTTGTCTCGAACTCCAGGGGGATTTCATGTCATCCTTAAAGGGAGACAGAAGACTTCCCATATTTTCCCGGGTCCTGTAGAACTAGATTTGGTGCAGGACTCTGCTGAGCTGAGTTTATGTTTCATTAATTGTTAAATTCATACTTGAATCTTTCTGCCGCAGTCAGACAAGACTTTACGCAATTACTTATCACTTCCAGAAAACATTTTCGGCCAACTAAGATTAACACAATCAGGGGTTGAATACTGTCCGCTATGTCTGCAGCAGGTATTGATGTCATGGTTTTTAAGGGTCATTCTATCTGAGGGGCTTCTTCTTCAAAAGCAGCAGCTTTTTCTTCAAAACTAGCAGCTACTATCCTTAAAGTTGCAAGATGGTCCTCCAGTAAGACTTTTATTAATTTTTACTGGAGGCCATCTGAAGTTGAACGTTTACCGTTCCTTAGGACCCCCACCAGGTGCGTGCTATTCAAATCACTAGCTTTTGCCAGGTGGTTATGCCTCCCGGAGGGACAAAATAGAGTTTGCAGGAATCGATGACCGGCAAAATTTCTTTGGCCTAGGGATAAGCATAACCACCTAGCAAAGCGCCCATCCCTCCCTCCCCAGGTTTATTTGTAGTGCCTGGTGGTGGCAGGGTAGTCCTCTGGTTTGGGAATTTTCTAATTAAATAAATTTTTTGTGTTTTTTTTCTTTTTCACTTGTATATTTATATTTATTCTGTTTATCTTTACAGATTACAACCGGCTACCCAGACAGGATTATCAAGCCAAGGACCCTCCTAAATAGTTCTGGAGATAACGAAACTTCTTCCATAAGTTCTTTGATTATGAATTATACTATACTAATATTTCTCACAGAAACTTTGTTTTTCACCTTGATGACCAAAGGTTGTTTTGTTACATTTTCATATGTCACTATTAACTGTCAGTACTTGAGAAATGTTTCTTTTTTTATTGTTACTTTATTATATTGCCTTTCCACTCTGTTGACAAAACCCTTTCATAGGAGTAAGTTCATGTTTGGTTGAGTAAATAAAACATTGTTATCCCCCTTACATTGACAGTGGTGCTCTTGTGCAGGAGCACAGCACAAGCGTTTTTAGTGCAGCAAAATTATTCTCCGGGAGGCTGCCACATACCCACTAGCTTTGCTTATCCCTAGGACCAAGAAAGTTTGCAGGTCATCGATTCCTGCACTCTCTTGTGTTTGAGACACTGACTTGCAAAATCATAATGTGTGTGTTTCATAAAAAATAAGCATGTCATCAGGTTTCAGTAGTTTTCCCTATAGTGGTCA